AATTAACAAATAACAATCAATCAGATTACAACAAGATCTAAAATTTTTAAAATTTACAAACAACAGCAATATTCTAATAACTTTACTACAAAATTTAAAATTTCTAAAATTGATTAAAGTCTCTTTCTAATTTAAAACTTATTCTATATCTTATATTTTAATACTCTAACTATATATCTTTATATACTCTATTATTTCTTCTATACTTTATAAATTTATTCACTAAATATAGTCTAGTATTTTTTATCATATTTCATAACCTTATACTATTAAATACACAAATCTTATAGTTTAGCCTTACCTTAAATCTATTAAAACTAAATACTCTATTTACACTATATTTACTTTTTTCTAAGACAAATCTAGATAAGTTTTTGATCACTTTAGCTAATTTAGATCACAAATAAAGTAGTCTAAGCTTTTATTCTTCATATAGTTTTTACTTTTAATATTTTATATATTAAGATTAGCAACTCTTTGTAGTTACTATAATAAAAACTATTAATAAAAATATAAGCAAGGTCTTATCTTAATATCAAAAAAAATCAGAATAGTTCAATAATTATAATAAAGACAATAAAATGTAATAAGAATTTATAAAAAAATTTTGTAATAAAATAAGCAAAAGATTTCTTTATAAAGCTGGTTTTTTTAAATATGAAATTATTAATATTTGTAAAAAATCAATTCTAAATAGTTAAAAAAATATGTTATTTTAGTATATTTATATAATATAGTTTTCAAAAATCTATTATTAGATATAAAAAAAGTCTACATATGTCTAGAGGTAATTAAGTCTTAAAACAAAATTACTTTATTAATTATAATTAACAATATATTTATTTAAAGATTATTAAGGTTATTAATTTCATTAACTTTAAGCAATAATATACTAATATAAATACATAAGTATAGTTTAAATAGAGCAGTGTTTAAATAAAGTTTTGAAGTACAAACTAATTAGTTTAAGCAAAAAAGTATCCTTAATTAAAATTGGATATAATCAGTATTCATCATACTTACAAGCTTAATTTTGAATAATATTGCTTAGTCAATTTAATTTTAGAACTATTATTAAATCTAAAATAGCAATATTGATAAATGCTTTTATTTAAATAAAAAAATTATTGCTATTTGGTCAACAAACTACAAATCAATATTATACTAAAAACTTAATATACAATAAGGTTTTTTCAAAATGATATTTTTTTAGCTAGCTATTTGAAATTTGCAGTTTGCATAGTAAATAATTAATAATTATAATAATTAAAAAGTATAGTAAAATATAATACATTGCTAGTTATTATAAAATATGTATATCATATAATATTATATAGGTGATAAATAATATTTATAGCCTCCAGGCAATGAATAAATTTAGAAAATATCTATTTCTACCATAGTATTTTGTTATTTCTACTATAGTGATATAAAAATTACTATTTTTAGTATTTAATATAGAAAATATAATAAATTAATATAAAAAATTAATTTTTTAAAATTAAAAAGTTTTTATTAAATTAAAGTCTGTTAGACTTCTAAGTATAAAAGATTTTTTTGGTTCTAAAGATGGTTAGATTATCAAAATCAGTCTTGTGAAGTTTAAAATACTTGGAGTTAAAGACACAAACATAAAGATTAAATATAAAAAATTAATTTTTTCAAAATTAAAGAAGTTTTTATTAAGTTAGAGTTTATTAGACTTCTAAATAAAGTTATAGAAAAATTTTTCTGGTTCTAATAGTAGTTAGATCATTAAAATTAGTCTTGTAGATCCTAAGATACTTGGAATTAAAGATATAAATATAAGAATTTAATATAAAAAAATTAATTTTTTTAAAATTAAAGAAGTTTTTATTAAAAGTTTGTTGAGCTTCTAAGTAAAATCATAGAAAAGATTTTTTAGTTCTAATAGTAGTTAGATCATTAAAATTAGCTTTGTAAATCCCAAGATATTTGGGGTTAAAGATACAAATATAAGGATCTGCAAATTGGTATAGTACTAGATAGCAAGAAACATACAATTTTTATATAAAATATAAAAAATATTATAGCTTTTTAAAATTATAAACCAAGTAAAAATTTATTTTAATAAAAATTGTAGATTAAATAAAATGCAACAAATCTGTAAGAAGAATTTTTGCTAAACTAGTTTGTTCTTGAGTTATAGTATTTTAAATTTAATATACATTTAAAAATTTAGCGTTTAATATATTAAAAAAAATATCTATATTGTCAGAGATGAATTGACCAAAATTTCACCTCCAACAAGAGACAAGAAAAATAATAATCTGGCATTCAAGAGAAGACAAGGTTGACAAACAATACTTAGTAGAAAGATGAGGCAGATTTTGATTTGGCACAGATCAAAGACGTCTACTGAGAATCATTAGGTGAGTAATTCAATATAGTTTTTAATAAATATATGATTTGGGTTTATCAATAAGCTTTTATTAATGACTTTATTGGATATAGGGCAAAAATTGTACACACACTATTTTAAACACTACTTGGACAAGAGGGATTTAGTCTCTTATTTATAATAAAAATTATAGGCAAAAAAAAAATCAAGATCGAATGTTTTTCCCATCTCTAATTATTAAACCATTCATGGAATTAAAGCCATTGACCCTTTTTAGGTCCAATTCCAACCATTATTTACAGCTATTCTCATTGAAGCTTCAACGAAATAAAAGAAAAGGCAAAAAGAAGGCAAGTTCAATGAAAGCTTCTACGCTATCATTGTTCTATACCTATCAAGTCCATTGATTCATTCATTGACTCTTCCATTAATCCATATGCTTCTTGCTTTTATAGCCACATACTAACCCAACAAGATAATATTACTTTGATAGCTGTCAACCAAATTGGGTAAGTATCACTTTCTTCAATAGGATCGTTGATGGGGGCTTGGCTTTCATAGGATCATGTTTGATGCTTCCATACAGAAGATCTGGTTCAAACGGGTTTACTTTCATATGATCATTGGGTAGAAATCGTGAGTTCCGGGGCATTGCAGTATAATGGCTCCTTGTGTGATGATTTGTGTATCCTACATGCATCATTCTGCATGATTCTTGATTTTTATGAACAGGCAGTTTTGCCAGTAACAATTCTCCCCACCTTAATTTTTCACATCCCATGAAAAATCTAATGTGTAGTTTTGGAGGTTACCTAATCGCATGTGCTTCTTAAAGTACAGTAATAAATTTTTTTTTTTCTTCTATCTATTACTAATAAAAAAAAATCTATACTAATACTAAAATCAAAACTAAAACTAAAATCACATAACTAAAACAAAAAAATAACAAGGAAAAACAAAGATGATATAACAAAACTCAACAAAAAAAAACACATCCATGTCTAAGATGAAGAGCACAAAAATACCCTTGTTGTATGCTCCGTAACCCCGCGTACAACTGTTGTGTGTATCCACTTACAATCCAAGATAATAATTTTTTTTTTTTTTTTTTTTTTTTTATACTTCATTTTACTAAGCGGGCTGGATTTTGTTTCTCAGATTCTTCCAGAATCAAATATCCGTACAATACTCCACAGCGGCAGATACGAAGGATCTCTTGCAGCTAGGTTTACTGTTATAAGCTAATTTTTTGGTTGTTTTTACTAACCATATATCTTTTCTATTTTTATTAGGCAAGCTTCTCTGGATCTTGATTTCTACAACATATTTGTCCAGCGTCAGTTTCTTTTATTTTATGCCTGTTTCAGCAAACCTTTGTATTACTTGACTAGAGCGGCATTAAATCACGAGATTGTTTAGTAGAAAAGTTCTTATTTTCATGATGTCTCTCATTCCAGCAACAAGATCTACCAGAGTCGAATTGTCCACCAACTTTGTCATCCTCAGCGTCTTTCTGATACCATCCACATGATTTATCGGTTTCGGCACCAATTCTTTGAAACGTTCCTGCGGCAGGCTCTATTTTCTGTGATTCTTGTAAGATTACCATAAATTTATATCTCTTATCTCTTTTATTGTAATTTTTTTTTCTGTAGATATTGGGCTAATCTTCTTCACCTACTGAAAAAACCCAAAGTATATCTTTATTTTTCAGATTTTGTTAAATTCTACTACTACTAAAGCTCTGCCATTTTTCTGTTTAATATATATATTTTCTATTATATTTAATTTTTTGCAAATGTATCTAACTTCTTTCATATTTATATCTATTGGCAGATCTCAGATTGTGATACAATCTATATTTGTATATCTATTATGTTGTATCTTTTTAATAATTCTGGCTTTTAATTATAGTATCTTTTATTTTAAAATAGATTTTCTTCTGTTTTTGAGCAATTGTTTCTGTATTAATTTCTTTAGTTTTATAGTTAGAGTTTTGCTTTACTCTTGGTTTATTTTCTTGGTTTCTTTATTTATATCTTGAGTTTTTTGTTTTATTGTTTTTAACAAAACTAAGTGAAACCAATCTTCTTTTTTTTAAACTCTCTTAATTGCTTTTTTTATTCTATATTTACAATTGAATTCTACTTCTACTTGACTGTTTTTATTTATGAATGCTTTTTATATTGACTTTATATGTTTGTCTTTATTTAATATTCTTTCTATGTTTATAGTTTTTTCTTTAAAAAATCTTCTAGTATTTTAAAAGCTAATGCTTTGGTACAGTATAATTTATCTTCTTCATATGCTTTATTATTTGGTAACTAAATACTTTGTTTAATTAAACTACCAGATTCTGCAGATTCATTTTCTTCCTTTTGTTTTGTCTTTTTTTGTTGAGTTTAGACTTTAATATTTCTATTATGTTTTGCAAAATCTTGTCTATAGGGTTT